TAAGGAAATCCTGCCATTTGTGACAAGATGGACGAACCTGGAGGACATTATGCTAAGTGAAGTAAGACAGACACAGAAAGATAAATATTGCATAATTTTGCTTTTATGTAGAACTTTTAAAAAATCTGAATTCATAGTATCACAGAGTAGAATAGTGATTACCAGAGGCTGGGGGATGAGCAAAAAGAAGAGATACTGATCAAAAGTAAGAAACTGTCCATTAAAAGATGAATAAGTTCTGGATGAAAATGTACAGTGTGGTGACTATAGTTAATAATGTGTTATATACTTTAAATTTACAAAGAGATCTCAAGTATTCTCACCACACACACACACACACACACAGAAACACAAATAGTCGTGTGAGGTGAAGGATGTGTTAATTAGCTTGAGCACGGTGATCTTTGCAAAACATACATATTATCGAAACACCAAGACGTACACCTTAAATATATACAATGCCTCCTTGTCAATTATACCCCAGGAAAGCTGGAGGGAAAAGGAAAAGTAAAGGTCAATGACAAAGAAAGAATATTAATGGCAGCCAGGGAGAAGAAAATAACTTAGAAAGGAACCCCCATCACACTATCAGCGGAAACTCTACAGCTAGGAGACAGTGGAATGATATATTAGAAATACATCACTTAAAATATACATAGACACACAGGGAAAACTCATGTGCATAATCTATATACTCATAGACAGAGAAACTCAGACTCTTAGGTCTATGATGCAGAATTACACAACCAAACACACAGGCACACACACACTCCCAGACCATCTCCCCACCCCAGCTCACAAGACAGCCAACAAGACGAACAGACAGCCCTGGCAACTCAGTGGAGGCCTCTGCAGGCAGACATGATGAATAGGACCCTGGCATGACCTGCCCCACCTAAGCTGTCAGGAAAGGGGGCATTTTCCTGGTTCCAAACCGATGGCTGGGAATCTGCCTCACACTAGGACCTTCCGGGACAGCTGTGCCTGGGTCCTAAGATGCCAGAGAGTGACCAGGGTAGAGTTGCTCTGGAGACAGGGGCCCAGGGTAGGGACAGGGATCCTGACAGTGTGTACTTAGGGCAGAGGTACTGTATGAGGCTTAGCAGAGCTCAAGGAGAAGAGAGGGAGAGAGGCGAGCCTCCCCAGGACCCTGCCATGCCTCAGAATGAGCTGCACCCTCTCCCACAATAATGACAATAACAATAATGAAATTGTCAGGACTATTATATGATGATATTATCATCACAACAGCAATGACTGATCATCAGTCCCAGGTCGAGGAGCAAGGGGTGTCACCATGGCCATCTGGTTTGACCTCATCTTCTGAGCAGGGCAGACCCCAAGCAAAGCTGGGCCCTGGGCAAAGCTTCGCTCTGGCCCCTTCTCCTTCTGGAATCTTCTTGCCTCAGCCTCCCCCTCTCCCAACATCCCTTCCTAGACCCAAGTCCCCTCTGACCCTTTGCTCAGCCTTGGTACCGCCCTCTCCCTCACCACTCTGAAGCTGATTCCCCATGTGTGCAATGGGGATAGAGATGGTGCTGACCTCAGGATCCCATGAGATGATGCCTGCACAGTTCAGTGCTCAGCACAGGCCAACAAGAGGAGGGGCCTTTGGTTACATCCTTATTGCCTTTAATGGCTGCATACCTTCAAGGCCCCAGTTCTGGGAGGACAGATGCCCCTGGGGGATGCTGCTGCTGATGTGCACAGGGGCTCAACACGAGGCTTTTTCTTGTCCTGAGGACAGTCTTTGGACGCAGGCATGGACACTCCCATTTTAGTGAAGGAAACTCACTCAGGGTCACACAGCTGGAAAGCAGCACACCTGAGTCTTAAGCCCAAGGCTGCTGGCCTGGCCTCCAGGGGCCATGAAGGTCTCCCCTGCACGGGAGGCTCACACTGCGTGGGTTTGGGGAGTAAGTGCTTCCTCAGCTGCAGAAATGATCTCACCTGTTCCAGGCCCCCAACCTCTGTCACTTCTCCTTGTTTCCTTCCTCTCTGCTTGAACTATGGTCAGGGTGACCCTGGAAGCTTTCACGGAAGTCCCCAGCCCATTACAGGCTGGGCCTCTCTCCCGTTCACTTCTGGGCTAGTCTGACTTCCACCCCTTCTGTACTGCTCTCTCCTTGTGTAACCAGGATGGCGCATCTCTGGGGCTCTTTAGGCAGCCAACAGCATCTAAACAGAATTTCATATGCACTGTTGTTTTGTTTTGTTTTTGCTTTTCTTGTTTTTTATGTTTTCTTTATATTTACGGTAAAAGACGCTGATTTTCCACTATAATAGTGATGGAATCTTTCCTGTTTGCTATAAATTTATATAATAAAATGTGGTGGGATTTAAAGCAATGATTTTAAGCTGCCATGGGCCTGAATGAGTTGGGGAAACACTGTGTGTAAACACGCAGAACAGAGCCTTAGGTAGCTCGTGACGGGGCCCAGGAGAGGTGATCACCAGTGGGGTTTGTCTTGGTCTCCAGGCCCCTGCCCACCTGCTTGGCTCTCCCCACCTGTCACTCTTGGTGCTGCCAAGCTCCCTGGGTGTTGTCCCCAGGTCCCCCAGGAGAGAAGATAATGAACTTTCTCTCTTAAAATGCTCACTTTCCTGGAGATCCCAGGAGATCAATCATGAGAGTGAGCTTGGATTTTCCCCACTGAGGTTCATAACGCAAAACCCATGCTAACAGACAGCAGGGTGACAGAAAAGTGACATGTTCACCACTGTTTCAGTTGTGATGATGTCTGTTTAATCGAGGATGATTTTGAGACCATACAATCCGCCACACAGAGTGGAATTCCCAGGGCAGGTGGAGACGTATTTTATTGCCATTTTATCATGATGATATCATTCAGTTCAAAGATAGACCCTTTTCTTTTGGGATTTCTTCTTATACTCATTTTTTTATTTATAAAGGTACCTCTCAGGTTCCTAACATGTGGGAATTTCCAGTCAGCTTTTTATCAGTGACTTCTAGCACAATTACTTTGTGGAAAGATGCTCTGTATGATTTCATTCCTCTGAAATATATGGAAATTTGTGTATAGACAAAATAAATAGGGTTAATTCTGTAAACGTATCATACCTGCCCCCAACAGTCGTTACATGGTTATAGATAGATATATAGGTAATCTGGGTGATTAAGGTGGTTTGCTATTAAGATCGTCTGCATCTTACGGATGTTCTGTCTGCTTATTGTACGAGTTGCTGAGAGGGATGTGAAACCCTCCCACTCTGCTTGTGTGTTTGATTCTCTTTTCATTTCACTTACAAGTCATCCTTTGCTTTGTAAGTTTTTCAGCCAATGGCCATGGGAAACCTTGGGAGGTCAGAAAGGAAAGAGGGGTGCCCAGAAGTGGGGGACAGGGGACCTGGGTTGGGAAGGACTAGAAACCAGAAGGTCTGTGAAGGTTCCAAAGAGGACCTGTTACTGGGATGGCTCCTGGGGAGGCACTGGTTGGGGGAGGGGCATTCTAAACGTAAGGTCACACGGTGTCCACTGTGATGAACCAGGGGTGAAGGCAGGGTATTGGTCAAAAGGGAGTATAAAGCATCGGGGTTGCTAAGGCAGCAGCCAAACAGGAGAAGGCTTGGAGGAGGACAAAGCCCTCATCCCCTCTAACTGCTCCTGAGAGTCCGCTTCACCTGATCCTTGTGTCCTGCTGACTTACTGACCTACTGACCTGTCTGAACTCTCCTCCCCCCCCCCCAGGACTTGATCTGACCCAGTACTTTCCCTGGCCTGCTTCTTCTTCCCCTCCCAGGTGCCCAACAGCTCCTTTCCTGCCACACCCACACCCCAATCCCACCCTCAATCCAACCTCTCCCCCCAACCCCATCCCAATCCCTCACCTCATCACCTCCCTACCCCACCCCTCCCCTCACGCCCTCTGCATCACTCCCTCCCCACCTCCTTCCTTGAGGACCAGGACATGGAGGTGCAGAGGTTGGTCTTCTGGCTCCTTTTGCTTGGGTTTCCCGGTTACCCAAACACAAACGTGAGTGAACATTGGACATCAGATGGTTCTTCCTTTTTATTGGGCTCTTTTACATGGTGGTTAAATAACACATTTTTCATGGGTTTCTTGATGGGAACTCAGACATCCTGAAGACTGAGGACCTCAGGCCAAGTTGCTTGACCAGCCTGAACAGGTTCTGGCCAGAACTGTGCACATCAAATTCTGGGTCTTGTCAGCACTGCTTGGACCAAACACAGCAGGGTTGACAGGATGGAAACCTGAAAATAGTACCTGTACAGTGTCTAGAAGGAAGTATTTGTGAATATACTGAAAGTCATTGAGTTGTATGTCTTCAGTGGAAGAATTGTTTAATTTGTGAATTATAGCTCAGTCAAGTTGTTTTTAGAAACATAAGGAACTCTTATTTAAGAGGAGTCATGGGAATTAGACTGTCTCCTGGAAGCCTTGTCAAGATCCTGTTTCAAGCCATGCAATTGTAGGGCCCATCTCATGTGTAGTTTGCTTTTCTATAAGTACATGGTTCATATATGTGAAGGTTGGCAGCCCTGGGAACAGTGGTATCTAAGTATTGGTGTTGGTACTAGTCTGTTAAAAAGTGGAATGTCATTTGTGCTCTGTGCTTTCGGCCTTGTTGACTTTTAGCAACTTCTAAGTCATCTCTTCCTTTCTGCTCTTGGAAGCTACCCCCAGGGACTCTGTGTCCAACCATGTTGATGGGAGCCCTCAGAAGTCCATCAGAAAATAAGTGGCTGCATCCTGCTGCGATGTTAATAAAGGGTAATTTATTAGGAATGACATGACCAGGAGGCGAATGAGTTGTTTTCCTTTCTTTAGTAAAGCATTCACTTGTAGAGTGTTGATTTACTCAAAGCAGAAAGCATCCTTAATGTCCTTAGGATTGTCCAAATATAAAGAAATTCCAGACTCCTAGTATTGAGGGAGAGAGACTGAGAAAACCCCTTAGAGATAAGTAGATTTGTTTTGATTGGCATGCACCAGATTCTTAGGGATCTGGAAAGGTCCAGTGGTCAGGAACAACCCTCACATTGAGGCAGAATCATCCCAAATGAGTATCTCTAATCAAAGAAGAATTATTCTGTTTCCTTTGAATCTACAAAGGAGGAAATTTCTTGTTAGTCTTTGTTGGAACTTCCCCCTACCCTCTACCTAGGTTCCATTCTCATAGATGAATTAACCTCTCTTTCCCTACCTCATCTTTGAGCACCTGGATAAACTCGCCTGTCTTGCATTTCCCACATCTACCCTTGCTCATGGCCATTGACTGTCAGAACCTCAGCTTTTTGGCCCCATTGGATCTCATCTACGTAGGAGTCAACTACTGTATAGTACAGCTCTCCACGGTTGTCAGATGTAAGGAGAGTGCTCACGACTGGGGATGTTTGATCAGGTAGTGACCAGACGGTCTTTGTCTTTTTTGTGCATTTGATCCACATGGTTGTCCAAGTGCTGAGAGCTACTGCTCTCTCTCTGACAGTGGTGACTCAAAGACAGTGCATGTTCCCCATGAGCACACATTTTACTGACCCCAGCTGTGAGGGCTGAAGATGAAAATGTTATAGATTTCAGAGGCTACTTTCTAGAGAAGTTTTATTTGCACAAAACTGAAGCTTGGTACATGGATTAGTATGAATTGAGGTGTGAGTTTATTTTCTTCCAAAATATTTATAGATATAGTTTGGTAAAACGACGTGTTTGCCTTTTGTTTTGGTGAACAGACATTCTAGAATTATTGTATTCCTTTACAAGTTAATTTTCATGGTTGCTATTGATTCATTTAGGTGCCATTCTATGAAATATGAATGGGAATTATTTTTACTAGCTATGTGGAATTGTGTTTTTAACTAACTTAAATTCTCATAGTTTTAATCATAATATACAAGATCACAGTATTATGCAAATCTCTATGTACTACAGAAATCTGATATTATGTGCTCTGGTTCACAATCAAAGTGGACATTAAAAGTAAACCTCAATAGTTTTAGAAACTTGAGCTAAGCAAAACTCTGGAATTAATTTTTGTAGGAGAAATAATCCCGGGGTCCTCATAATAACAGCTTCCCATCTCTCTCAGTTGTGTGCATATCTATAAACATCTCTTTATTATTCTCATTTGTATCTTTAACACACATTTTTTATTATTCCTTCCCATTCTTCCATACATTTGGGTGTGCTTTTGGAGATGTTCCAAAGAGTTTTATCTAGGTACTTCATGAATATACAATAGAAGACCTAGGCTTCCCAATCACGATAAGTTTGATTTTAATTAGTTTTCAATTTTAACTGGTTTATAAATTCATAGTTTAAGTTCTGTTAACTATTTTAAAAAGTATCTGAAATGTGTTTGCCAGCAAAATAAAATCTCGAACAGTGTGTGTATTAGATTTTTTTTCCTCCAGCTTAAGTGTGGTGTAATTTCTGTATAATAACAGCACCATTGTAATGAATCCAGTTTGTTGATATTTGACCTATGCATGCAGCAATGAAACCATCACCACATTAAGATAGTAAACACACTCATCGCTCCCAAAAGTTTCCTCCTGCTCCTTTGTAATCCATCTGTCCATGAGGAGACATTCGAGGGGTGTGGTCCTCCTGGAGGCTGGGTTAGTGTTTCTAAAGATGACTCTGTGACAAATGTATTGTGAATGTCTTTGAGGTTCCTCACTATCTTCAACATTATTTCAGCTGGTCCATATTCCACATGAACTTTTCCACTTTGGGCTTGATGTTTTGGGAACCCTGTGGAAGTTGACCATTATTATTGTCTCCTTGGGAATTTCTGCATTCATCATTTTCCACTGGAAAACTGTCCTTGCTGTGAGTATACTAAAGTAATTTATGGATATACTTTTAATCATAAATAAGTAGGGATTTTGATAGTCACTGGACCTTTTGTTTGCATTCAGTACTACAAATTTCCCTCTAAGTGCTGCTTTCACAGCATCCCACAAATTCTAGTAAGTCCTATTTTCATTATCATTTAGGTTGAATTATTTTTAAATTTCTATTGAGATGCTTCTTTGACCTATGTGTTCTTTAGAAGTGTGGTGTTTAGTCTCCAATTTTTTTGTGGTTTTCCAACTGCCTTTCTTTCACTGATTTCTAGTTTAACTCCATTGTGGTCTGAGAACATAGTTTCTCTGATTTCTTTTACTTTAAATTTCTTATGAATTTTATGGTCCTGAATATGGTGTATCTGGGTGAATGTTCTATGTGAGCTTGAAAATAAAGTATATTCTGCTCTTGAAGTCTTCTACAGATGTCAGCAGATCCAGTTGATTGAAGGTGTTGTTCAGTTCAACAGAAATTCAGTAAGAATACAGCTGAACTGAACAACATCTTATTTCTGTAAGTTGGGTCTGTCATTGAGTGATAGAGGGTTTTGAAGTCTCCAGCTGTGATAGTGGATTCTCCTATTTCTCCAGGAAATTCTGTCAGTTTTTGCCTCATGTATTTTGACACGCTGTTGTTAATACATACATATTAGGGATTTTATGTCTTCTTGGAGAACTGACACCTTTACCATCAAAATGATGCCACTCATTATTCCTGATAATTTTCCTTACTTTTTAGTATTGTTTTGGAGGAGAATTTCACTGGCTACAGAAATCTAGGTTGATGGTTCCTTTCTTTGAACACTTTAAATATTTCATTCTATTTTCTTGTTGATTGCACAGTTTCCCAAGAGAAGTTGAATGTATTTCTTATCCTTGTTCCTCTATAGGTAGGATGTTATACTCCCGTGCCCCTGCCCTACCCCAGGCTTCTTTCAAAATGTTTTGTGTTTGCTTTTCTGTAGTTTAAATAGTATATGCCTAGGTGTACATTTTTTCTTGTTTGGTGTGTATCCTGCTTGGAATTCCTTGAGCTTCCTGGACCTATGGTTTGGTGACTATCATTAATTTTGGAAAATTCTCAGTCATTATTGCTTCAAATATTTCTTCCTTTCCTTTCTTCTGCCGGGGTTCCCATTATGTGTATGTTTCACCTTTTGTAATTGTCCCACTAGTCTTTGATTTTGTGTGTTATTTTGGGGACTTTTTCTTTCCATTTCTGTTTTTAAAGCTTCTACTAACATTTCTTCAAGCTTGATGATTCTTTCCTCAGCTATGTCAAGTCTGTTAATGAATGCATCAAAGGCATTCCTAATTTCTGTTATGGTGTTTTTGATTTCTAGAATTTCCTTTTGGCCCGTAGAATTTTCATCTCTCTGCTTGTATTCACTGTCTCTTCTTGTCTGTTTTCTCCATTTTGCGTTAGACCTGTTAGTGTGTTAATCATCATGGTTTTCCATTCTTAGCCTGATAATTCCATCATCTCTGCCATACTGAGTGTGATTCTAATGCTTACTCTCTGTGTTCAAACTGTGTTTTTTCTTTTAGCCTGCCATATAAGGTTTTGTTGAAAGCTGGGTATCATGTCCTGGTTTAAAAGAAGAACTGAGGTAAATAGGCCTTTAGTCTGAGGATTTACGTTTATCTGGCTGGGATTAGGCTGAGTTTACTCTTAGGTGAGACAGGAAGAAGAGAGAGCTCTGGAGCTGGGTACTTCCCTTCACCTAGGTCACTTAGTCTTTGGAAAAATACCACTTAGGCTCTGCTTAAGTAGTTTCTCTGCATGCAGGTCTTTTCAAGAAGAATAAATACCATGAGTTTATTTCTAAATGGCTATTTTCCCCCTCTTCCTGCCAATAGAATGAGGGGATTTTTCTCCAGTATTTCCTGTGAGAACCTGTTAGGACTCCTGGAGATAAAATTCACACAAATATGGGAACCCCTCAAGATTGGGCACTCGGGCCTTTTTTAATCTCTTGCTTCTTCATGCTGAGCATCCAGGAATTCATCCGTTATGGTGTTTTCCTACCATGGCGTTCTAGTTCCTGTGGAGATTCCTGACCTTGGGCTTCTGGTCCAATTAGTGGTGATTGTATGATCCGCCAGTCTGGTTCACTGATTCTCCAGGCAACAGTTGGCTCTGTGACTTCAGTTCTCTGACAGGTCTATGAAGAACTTTTGACTTTAAGTTTGTTCAGCTGTTTTCTTGCTATGTGGACAGGAGTGACAATTTCCAAGCTCCTTACAAGCTGGATCAGGATCCAGGAGTCCAGCTCTTTGATTTGCTTCCTTTAGACTACTAATCTGACCACAAATTAATGTTTGAAATGGAAGTTGACTTTGTAAAATACTCTAACCATTTTAGTAAAGAACTCGTTGAGCAAAACAACAATATATTTTCAGTGAGAAAACTGCAATTCATAAACCTTCCCCTTCAAAAAGAAAACACAGATATTAAGTATTTGGTGAGCCCATCCCTCTTCCCACTTGTCCCTCCCTGTAGGGTTGGGTGACAGGGGACAGGGAAGTGCACTGATTCCTGCGCATTGTGTGAAGTTAAAGGTATATCTGTGATTTTTTGTTTGCCTTCCATGGATTCATTTTCCTATAAAAACATCACTATAACTGTCTTTTGATACCATAATGATATTCCAGTATCTTGGCAATATCATTTGGGCTGGCCTCAGCATCTGATCATCATTTAAAACTATTCAAAGGGGAAATATGTTTTAGGGGGTCAATAAAATGTGCCTTTCCATGGTATTAAAATGAGGTCCTGCCTAGATTTTATTGAGCTATAATTCCACAGGGTATGACTCGGGTCTGGGAAGCACTTTTTTGCCTTTTCTTAAAATGTTAGCTGTCATTTCTGTTGTTGCTTGTGCTTTCCTCTAGCCATCTCCCCCTCTCTTTCTCATCTGATGACCCTCTTTATGTATTTAGTGGTCTTTGAAAATCATAGGACCTGATGTGTTGTAATTGTTTATCAATGCAGCAAACAGCCAACTCTGTTAGATTTCAGAAAACCTTTCTATTGAGTGAAAGAGGCATATCTTAGGAGTACAGATCTTTTGCCTTTTTTATTGGAGACTTTTAATACAATCCCAGATTCTGGACTTCAGTGTGGATATTGGGTTTGACAAAATAACAATCAGATAAATGAAGCATTATTGTGTTTATAAAAATGTTTGCCATATCCATTATCAAAATTAAATAGATTGGTGTTAATTTAATAGAATATAAAGAGGTCTTTTGCTCAAAAATAAGTTATTTACCTATGTGCTCTTTATCAGAGATGATTGTGAAGTTTCATGACTTAAACAGGGAATTATAACTTTCTCTTATTTTTAATCCTATGAATCATTATGCTGAACAAAATGATGATTATAACCTCATTGGATTATTATTTTGATATTTTATCAGAATGATAGATTTTTACTAATAGTATGTTTTGACATCATATTTAATTTTGTTTCTTCCTCTCCTAGATAAAGCTTCGAACATATCAAGGTAAGAGTTTAGGCTTCGGTTTTCCTTGTAATATTTTCTCAGTTCTGGTGTTTGATGAGTTTTAATTCAATTGGGAGTAAAGATAGTGACTTTTGATGTCTAATTGGCTTTTTAACGCTTGAAAATCTTACTCTTCGCCGGTTGGAGTCTAAATGACAATGTAGAAGGAGGTGCCATCTATTGAGATAAGAGAGCCAGAGGAGGAACAGATCACAGGGGTAGGGAAAATAGGATGAGTTTAATTTTGCATAGAAATATTTAGTAAGCGAGTGGGGAAGTGGGGAAAACCTGGAGGAAGCCAGGTTTTTAATTTTTGTTTTTTAAAGCAATTGTACTGATCTGTTTATTTTATTTGATAATTGGAGGACAGAATGTAAGTACATAGGTTGCTTGAATTTTCTGTTTCCCCTCTGGTGATGACAGGGCTGTTTGAACTGTTCACATTTTCTAAGAATATTGGTTAACGATGGGATGTTAGTCTAAGACATTTTATTGTGTTTCCCCATCTTCGAAAAAAGATTAAATAGGAATCTCATTGAAATAGGGTTCTTATATCCATACTTGTTTCCTATATTTAAAATGCCACTAACTAAAACTTGTTTTCTTCAGGATCATAGTCCTGCTAAAATGTTATTTATGGTCATAGTGCCAATAATGTGCCTTTGCTGTTGACACATTGGGGTAATTCAATTTTATTCATTTGTGTAATAATCTTAGAAATGGTTTTGCTCTCTTTTTAGTTAATTTCCATCACAGTTCTTATACGATGAAGACTTACTTGAAAGAAAATTCAGAACTGGTCAAAAAATTATCTCTTTGTGAACACAAGGTATAATCATCCTTGAATTTTTGTTTTCATGGCTTCATCTTGAAGTACCTCCACTTTCTTCTAGTTTAGTTATTTTGCTGTGCCTTCTTTCAACCTAGTGTGACATTTCATTATGTTGTATAACAGTCTAAATTCAAAGCAAGCATCTTATATATAAAGTACCACTTTTTAAATTTCTATAAAGACTTACCCATGGGGGAATAAGTTTCACTATCACTATAGTAAGTATTTTTGAGTTCTGAATTCTTTATTACTATTTGTATAGCTCAATGAAGAAAATAAATTTGCTCAAGAAACTAAGAGGCAGAACAAGATTCTCGGTGATGAAGCACGGAAATTTAAGGTAAAAATCCCTTCTTTTTCATAGATTACACTCTAAAAACAGAAGTAAAAGTAACGAGTAAATATTGCTGATCTCTATATGTTTTGTTGAAGGAAAACATCAAAATGCTGGAAAACATTAATGACATCATTGAAAGGATATTTGCTGAACTGGAATATGACAGAGATAGAAACAACGAGAATCGGGATTTGGTGAGAGTTTTGCTACCAAGTTATTACCATAATTTGATTTTGAGCCTTTTTGTTGATGGGGTGAATTGAGCCCTGCATTCTTCCATGCTGTTCACTGCTGTTCCAAGTACTAATACCCACAATGCCTTTTTAAATTTAAGGACTTAGGAAGAATGTTTTTCTGTTTTTACAACCCTGGGTAATTTCTTTATATCATCCAGCACTTCCTCTCCTCCAAGAAACATAGAACTGAGAAATTGTAGGAGAGAGTACTAGAGACGTCTAGCCATGTTGAACAGTCCTATCCCTCTTAGTGCAGAGCAGGGAATTTTCAAAGTGATTCTAGTGACAGTATTTACCTTCCACTAAGAAAAGCTGCTCATTTGAGCCGTTTGGCTTCAAGGTTTTAGACCTTCTTTGCTTTGCCTTGTCCCCCAGTCAAGTATCTCATTGTCTCAATAGTAGAAAGTTGGAGTGCCCATGAAATATTTCTGACTTCTACTATTCTCTTAGTTCCTCATTTATTTCTGTGTTTGACTTTTCTCCTTGGCTGAAACTGGATCAACCGCTTTTAATGAAACAGGGGCTGATGTGGGGTATGTCTGGTTGGCATTTCTTCTTTTTAGCATACCGTCCGGTGTTCCTATTGAAATCCAGTACATGTTTTGTTTCTATCCTGCATGTAGATAGCAGAAAAGAAAAATCTACAGAGAACTTAAAAGTTGATATTTCAATGAACACCTCAGGAATTTCAGAAGTAAACTACCTAGATTTGCTGCAAGAATTTCATTGTACACCTTAAGTTTGATGAAGAACAAATATGTCATGTCTTAGAATATTAAATTTATATGTTATTGTTTTAGAGATTTTTCTTCTTGGAAACTAAGTCATTAGTGAGAATGTTTGGCTTTAGGTTTGAATCCCCCTTAATGAAGTTCATGTCCGCGAACCAAAATTGAAGTCTGAAGAACAGCAGGTACAGAAGGAAAATGCTCAGCTTACGGGCAAGAAGGAGCAGATAACAAAAAGTTCCTCCCATAGGTTATATAAATCAGAGAACTAAACATCATTACTTCCTTTTAAATTTTCTTATTTTTAATCGAGGTAAAATACACCTAATATTTGCCATCTAACCCTTGCAAGTGTACATTTTAGTAGTGTAAGATACATTCACATTGTTGTACAATCATTACTTCTTGAATATCTTTTCTCAAATCTGTCTTAAAGTCAGGAGATATGAGTGGAGGATTCAAGGATTCGAACCACAAAGCCTCGACATCTAGTGAATGTAATCTGGAAGGTATGTTGATTGTTGGGAAGAAAATTCCATATATTAAAAATAAGTTTGCACTGGGAAGGTAAAAAATGTCTTCTAGCCTTCAGGATTCTCTCCTTTCTCCTCTCCCCATCACAACCCAGTTCTTGAGAATGTGTGCACACAGACAAAGAAAATTGTTTTATGCTTTACAGAAGGGAGAAAGACACTAAAAGAGAACTGTGAGGCTTTGAGATCTATTAAAGTGGAAAAGGAAGCTGAATTAAAAATGTTGAAGATGAACATAGGCGTGACTGATGAACTCTTTGGACAAAGCAAGATGGTCATAGACAAGTAAGATGTTCAAGTGTTGATAGTTACAAATAGTGTTGTATTAGTGAAAGTATAGACCAATGTAGATAATTATAATTTCGTACAATATTTATCACTGTATTTTCACCATATTCAGTCAGTACAGAATTGTGTTTCTCATTTCTGCCTTGATTTTTGTTATCTGCATCTTCTTTTCCATTCCAACTGATTATCAGCGATTCCTGTTTGTAATTAATTTAGGATATGAGTCCTGGTACCAACTTTAATCACTTCATTATCTGGAACCCTCTTGGTGAATTTACATTGTACTCTAGGTTTCAATCTCATCATATTGTCATGACCTGCCATATGTTTATCATTTCCTATTAAACCCTAGACTTTGGGTAGAAAATATTTAGAGAAAAATTGAGGGCTATTTTGTTGTTATCTTGCTGCAGAAAATCTGGGAGTTTATATCTGGCGGGTGATCAGGGACGCCAGCACTACTGAATCCTAATCATCCAGTTAGCAATTCAGACCATTCACTGAAGGCTCAATCCCTCCTAAGGCCAGTGTGTTTTCTGTCCACCTTTGTTCTTAGTGTGTCATCTCCTGGGACCCAGCTAAGGCCTGCAGGTTTTTCTAGGGATGACCTTCATTTAGTGACCGTGAACTCCAGTTGTTTTACTTCTGTGCCCGTGGATGTGTGCAAACGCTCCTCAGCTTCTTTGCAACTCAAACTCCCCTCTGGAATTAGTTCATGAACCCTGGGGAAAGTGGCCCCAAATGCCAGGCTGATCATAATCCTGGGCTTCCTTCTTCTCCATCTTGGCTTCATGTCTCTCTACTGGCTTGTTAGCAATTTGGTGCAATCATGAATTTTCATATTTTGGCCAATGTTTCCTGTTGTTCTCATGGGGAGATGAGGGATTTCACACCCACTCATCCATGTTCAAAAGTAAAACTTTTCTTCTATTCCCGTAGGAGTCAGGTTTGTCTTATCCCTTCCCAAGCCTGAGGTAGGGCTTTATCTCCACACTGGCATCTTGTTTGTATTACATATGAGATGTTTTGGGGTGGAGATAGTGCCCTGCTTCCCTCTGTGTCCTCAACACCTTACAATGCACCCACTACTTTATAGCTTGTCCAGACAGCATTTGCTGAAAGGTTGCCTGGCTGGCCAGAAACAAACACATGAACTTTCTCTCTGTAGTGTTTCTGTCCCAGTTTCCTAGAGCTCTTTTAATTTTGTGTGTGATCCATAGCAAATGCAACGTCAAGTTGAGAATCTTTTGAATCAGAACCTTGAACAAAGTAGTTTAAAGGCAACACAGCAAATCTGCCTTGAGCCCTTGCCCTTTGCTGCCTTCGCTGTCAATGAAATCAAAGTATTTGTTAATGAAATCAATCTGCTATTAAAGCAGATCAATATCTTCAATTCGAAGGCTTTCCATTTTCAGGAGATAACACCCTGACTATGGGGCAATTCAGATCACCTTTCATTCAACAGTTTCTGTTCTGCTCAACTAGGACCTTTGAAGTAGGTGGCAGGAGTTCCACTCTTGAACTGTAGAAATGTCCAGTAGTTAATTATCCAATGTTATTACACCATGTCCAGGGAGGATCCATGGCTGTGTCATGGCCTCTGGACTTTCCCTGGGAGAAGTCAGACAAGTCATGAACTCCTGCTTCATCCTAATGTGTTTAGTTGCGAAGAGCTGGTCAGGCCTGGTTTCCACATTGAAAGAAAATGAACGTACGCTGTCCCAGTCACAAGAGACCAAGCGTGGGAGGGCACATGGCGCATCTCATATGTGCTTTTCATATTTGTTTAGTTTATTTACTAATGACTAGGAAAACAGAACTGGGAAGAGAAACTCAGAATTGCCAAAGACTTGCCAGCAGACTGGAGTTTGATTTTTCTCTGTCCTCTGATGAGGGGCTTCAATTCTTTCCTCTCACTATATTTGTCAATCTACGCATTTGTGGGGAAGGATGGGAGGGGACATTTGAATCCTGCCCTTTAGATTTCTGGGAGGCTAGAAAGGCAAAATGTCTCAGGGGCTACTGGAAAATGCATATTTTTTTCCCCTCTTAGGAAGCTGAGAATGAAAGAACGTGAGAGGGTGGAAAAGGAGAAGCAGCTCTCATCAGCAGAAAAGAAGGTGAAATTGGCTGCAGAAGAAATGCAGCGCTGCAAGTGAGTTCAGCTTCTGACCGTCAGCAACTTATAACACCCTTGCTGGATTTAAACTTTTGTACAATGTTGAGACCCAATTCATATACAAATACAAACAAATGTTCAGAAGACATTTATATAGAGATTTCCCTCAAGAATGAACAATGTTAAGTTTTACAAATGTCAAGTTAAAATATTAACTTAAAAAAAATGAAGTTCCGAAAAATTTCCTGATCCTTAATGCTGGCCAGACTGTGTGGAAACGTGGTTCACAAAAATGTTTCTGGAGGAGGTAAAAATTGTTAGAAACCTTAGGGAAGCAGTTTGGTGTCAGACGAATCTCATCAATAAATATGCGCATGCCACTTTAGAGACCCAGTTGTTGTAGTCCTGAGGAACATGATCAGGATAGAAGGAAAAGAAGAATCAAGCTGTATGATGAAAGGTACTCACTGCAGGATAAATTAGGGAGATACTGAGAATCAGCAAGGGAATTCTATCAACTGAGAAGCTGGCAGGCATTCGATTATAAATAAGGAAACAAAGCAGCAATCGCTTTGATCCTACTTACTTTTGTAACCTCATGAAATGTGTCTTATAGGATTGGATGATATGTATAAGGGTACAGTTTGGATAATGGGAACATGGACAGATTATTTAAAATCATCCTCAATATTGTGCTTTATCTGATGAAAGCAATTGTCACTCATAGGCAACAAACTGATCAAATGCGGCAACAGGTGCAGCAAGTAGAGTCCACCTTCAGACACCAGGTAACCTGCATTCTGCCCAAAGCTCCTGGATCCTTCAGCACCCAATGCAGAGGGTTACAATGGCCCTTGGAAGCCCTAACATAGGGTTTTTAACCTGTTGGCTTTTCAGATCGCTGTGCATGAGAAGAATGCTCAAGATAGTTGGGTAAGTTTTGTTTTCCTTCCTTCCCTTTGTGCACAGTCTGTCACAACTGAAGCTGGGTGTATTTTTCTCCAACAGATCAAGGCTCGGATTTTGGAGAGGGAGATAGTGGAGCAAAGCAGGGAAGCCGCTCACTTGAAACACAGGTGTGGGATTTTGAAAAACATTTTTTAAGGGTGTTTTTGAGGTATTAAGGCTAAGCTGTTTAGTGCCTAGCAAAGGACTTGGTGTTGTAATTCTTACTGAAGTCCATTCCTTTTCTATATTCCAGATTGGAGATAATGTCCCAAAAGAGGCTTCCTGAGGGATACAGGCCGTACGAACCAATGTTGCAAAGACCTGGGCTGCAGAACCCTGCACAGAGAGGTAGGGAGCACATTGTGAAGTGCAGCCACTTAATTTCTGCTGCAAAACCACTCCATGTCCCACTGTTTCTGTGGGGGATTGTCATGTTGTCTGGAAACAATCCCAAGCACGACATGAAGACAACAGGTTGTCTCAAGGGGTGACAGGAAGATGTCTTCCTCAGGTGCCCCAGCCACAATGGCTTTCTGGGCCTGTGCCCTGTGACTGGTGGAGCTCATGCCCCTCCACTGACCGTGGACCTTCTCCACTCACCAACACCTCCAGGACCTTGGGTTGCTCTTAATTGGAGAGATGTGCCTGGAGGGGTTGTGGGTCTATGCTTCCTTCCCACCTTGAGTCAATGGTGAAGACTTTGTTTTTCTTTTAGTTGAGAAAAAAAAGTCATTTCCATACCATTTTGGAGGCTCCCTTATTTTTTCTGTTTAACTTTTAATTGTGGACTATAGTATTCCATTCATAAATTAAATTTCTAAGTAATTTTACTCCTGACATTATCAGGGTAATGCTACAGCTTTACTGTTAAATCCCCATATCTTCCCTTTTCTTATTACTATAATATTATCCTAAGTCCATTTCTTTTCATAAATATTTATATAATGCCTGGTCACATATAGAAGGTAGCTTATATGAAGAGTGAGAGAGTGAAAAATCCACCTGTGGCCTGAAGAAAAGGACCTGTGCTGTTCATTTAAGAGTGTCTTGCTATTATCCCATCCAAGCTTATTCTCATTTTAATTTTTCTCTGTGATGAAACTGTGAGTTCCCTTGATGTGTATTGGGAAACCCTCTTTCATTGTTGATTTCCAGCTAGTTGAGCCCTGACTTTTCCACAAGTGGTTGATGAGTAACAAAAACTCCTGAACCAGGGCCCTGTGGTGTCTTCCTCGAGGGTCAGGGGGTGGTCTCCCCCTTGTCCTTAGGGGTCACCTGAGGCGTGTAGGGAACCTCCACTATTGGTGAGGGCCCTGAAGTGGGAAAGAATGTCAGATGGTGGAGGAAGGCGTGGAGGGTTTGTTTTCCTTCCTCACAGTGTGTGCAAGTATCTCTTATACAGAGGGAAAGACGCTTTCTACAGAAATGTGGAAGGAGCGGTTCTGTGGATGCACGTTGTACAGAGACCATGTGCCGAGCTCTGTGGGGGATGAGGCACACCCCTAACTTCAAGGGCTTAAGGTGTCCTAGAGCAGAGAGAGATTTTTCTATTAAAGAGCTTGTATTCACCATGATGGAAGCACCAGTGAAGGGCACTGGAGGACAAAAGAGGGAGACGTGAATCTCACCAGGATGAAACGGGAGGTTGTGGCAGAGAAGGAGGAATTGAGGAGGGGCCTGGTGGGAGTTGGCTGGGTTACCTTAGATGGAGCTGGAAGGCCATTCCCAGCAGGGCAAGCAGCTTGAGCAGGGAGTGTGAAGGCAGTGTGAGGTCCACGCAGAGCCACTGCGTGTTTTCCAGTCACACAGTGTGGGCAATGCAGTTGTCCTCACCAAGATGTCACTGTTGCCATAAAGCCCTTGGTTCATAATCTAAATAGAGATCTTGTTTCCCTTGGGTTTCTGAAAGTTCTGGATCTGTGTGATAGAAAAAGTGCCTGGAGGTTTGGAGATTTTACTTGGTTCTTTCAGGATACTGTGTCTGCCTGAGATTATTGTGCCCCCATGAGACTAAGAGTGCAGACAGGATCTAGATCAGCTGAGTGGCTGCCTTGGCCTTCAGTGAGTCGGACTCTTTGTGGGAGATTCAAGGTTGACGAGCAGCCACCCCTGCTGGACCCCTCTCACCACATCCCTGCATCCTCCAGTCACCACCCCTGACTGTCAGCTTTGCATCTCCCTAAGCTTACCACACAGTATCCCATCTCTTTGCTTGTGTTCCCACTGTCTCAGCCCCTAATACCAGCTCTCAGTGGGGCCTACTCAGAGCCTCAGCCCCGCTGTCTGTGAGATGGGGTAATATTGGTTCCTGAGGTCATTGTGAGGAAGACGAGATTAAGTACATAATGAAAGTGTCTTGCAAAATGGCTGGGACATGTTGGCACTCACCATTCTCACTGTTCAAATGAAAATATCTCCACACAGAAGATTATCAGAAGATGGTCACTGAGGTACATTCAACTAAACTAAGGGCGTAAGAGCTCAGGCCCAGAGATGCACAATCCCTGTTTCAAAAGATGAGGCAAAGAGTCCCCTTTTTCCTAGTGAAATTCAGGAACTTCCAGTCAAAAAAAGAAAGATAATTTTGAGAATATGTGAGTTCATAGATCTATACCTGAGACCCAAAGGCAATTATTTTCCATTAAATATGCAGCCACACAGTAAAGTGCTCATCAGAAGCCACAGATATATTATAGAAGACAAATGTATACAGGACAAAATAAGATCACATTGAAATAACCTCAAATCTTTTTGCCTTACAGGACGATGATTTTGAAAGAGGAGCCTGAGCCGTGATAAAAGGCTATGGCAATTGATTATGGTTTTCCCCACCCAATCCTGCCTCCTCCACTTTTATCTTTCCTATTGTCTCCCCTAATACACCCGTTATGGTTCTAACTCAGTGTCAGCGTCTGCTTTTTGGAGGACCAACCGACTCACTCCAGGGAGTGTACACAGTGTGAGTCTTGTACGCGCAGTTCAAAAACAGGCAGAAACCATGGGAATGAGGCAGAAGCAAGGTTATTTTGGGAGGGGTACTGTTGACTGCGAGGGGCCTGAGAAATCCTTCTGTGGTGGTGGACACATCCTACATCTGGATCTGGCTGTGGTTGTGTTTGTTCAGTCAGTAAATACTCACATGGTGCCTGCCAGTCCCAGGGGTGTCTGGTGATCAGAGAGACAGCTATCTGTCCCCAGGAAGTGGCCGATTTCTGATGGTGGGGAATAGATGAGGAACCGGGAGTGGCTCCGGGAGACCAGTGAAGAGGCCCTGCGGTAATCCAGGTTTTGAGCCCTTCACTCAACTTGCCAGCTGCCCCCCAATAGCACCAAGTCCAGGAGGCTTTGTGGGGAATTGATGGAAGCAGAATTTTTTGTAAGTCCCATGAGGTCCCATAATCCTCCCATGATTTCCTTACTGAGGGATGGGCAGGGCAGAGATCAATGGCATGGGATCCCCCACATACCCCAAGGAGAAGGGGCTGGGGTGGAAACAGCTGGCTCCCTCCAGGTCCCCCAATCCAATCCATTCTGCCCCCGCAGCCCCTGGAGGCTGAAGGGCCCTCCCTCCTTCCAAGCAGGAGTAAGTGGCCAGCCCTTCATCAGTTCTGGGGTTGAGACCAGACCAAAAGGTCAAGGTCTGACTGTGCACATGCTGCCCAGGAGTGGCTGGGAACAACGGCACAGCAGTAAATCTCAGCATGAACAGACTCGGTAAACTAGATTCTCATTCACTGTGAGCAGAGCCTGGGCCAAAACATGGCAGGGAGGGTGTGGAGGTGAGGGTGGTGGTGTCTGTGGTCCTGGACAGGACTGCAGTGGAGCAGAGGGTGTGAGGGCCTGGGGAGAGAGACAAGAAAGAGACAGGCAGGGGGAGAGTGAGTGATGTCGGGGGCGGGGGGTGGTTAAGTCCTAGAGAGTGACAGGGAGTCAGAAGGAAACAGGACTAGAGAGAAGCAGAGACAAGAGGAAGCAAGGAGGAAGAGGGGGAGCTGGGCTAGGGTGGGAGGCTGGAGTGGCTCTGTGAAGGGGCCCAGAGAGAAGCCGGCAGAAAGTTAAGAATCTTGGGCTTCGGGGTTCCCTGAGCTCCAAGGCTCCCACCTCCCTGGGGCCGAGCTCTGCAGGGGCCATCACACTTGGGAAGATGGGTACTTGCCATTATTCCTGGGCTCACTGCATTTAGCCTCTGGGTCAATCACTTATAGGGTTGACTTTCAGGAGAATGTGCCGCCGCTTGGCGGTAAACTCCAGAGCCTGCCCTGTGGGGAGCTGACCCTGAGCAGTCTTCCTCACAGCTCCTGAGCTCGTACTGCGTTTCCACCCACCCCAGCCGCAGCTGCATTATGTTCTAAAACCAGGTACCGGGCACTGTGCTGCCTCCAAGGTCCCATGCCTGATACTGACAGAGATGGGATTGAATCCCATCCAGGGTGGTCAGGCGTCAAGGACACTTTATCTCCTCCTACTGTCAGTCAGAAATGCTTCCCACCCTAATGAGTTGGGACCAAGGCTCTGATTAATATTAGGGAAAATGTATTGAGGTTTCCCTCTGAGCAGTATAATGTGCCCAGAGAAAAAAATCTTCATGTGTGTTATCGTATTTACCCAGCACTCCCCATATCCCATTTTAGGGATGAGGAGCCAGAGGAAGAGAATTGCTCAAGGTCTCATAGGTGGCGAGTGCTGTAACTGGACCTTGCAGAAGGTCTGCCTTGCACAGTGGTTCCACCCTGGCCCCCCTTCGAGGCCTGCTCTCTGAGGTGCTGAGGAAGCCTGTGGTTGACTGCGTCTTGGGAAATTTCTCTTATAACGGCATTAAGTCATGCATCAGTCAGGACAAAGAAGGTTACGTCTGTGAATGAGTGATCCAGACTCTCAGTGGCTTACCACAGCGAAGGTTTATATCTCACACACCACATGTCCACAGCAGGTCAACGGTGGCTCTGCTCCACATCCTCTTCCTTGGGGGACTCAGGCTAACGGATTAGTGTCCATTTGGAACCCCGACAGTCCTGTGAAGTTTTGAACATGCCCCTGGTAAGTCAACTTTGTCTTAGGAAATTGGTCTTCTGAAAGCATTAAGTTATGCATTACAGTCAACAACAGTAGAAACACAAAATCCAGTATGCATGCAAGTATTTTTTATTTAAATATAAATAACTTTATGAAATATAAAAGCATGTATTGCATTATTCCATGACAATAGGACATAACTATGGCAGTGAATTGTGGTAATGGATGGGAAAGGGGTGAAAAGAGCAGGGCCATTTTGCAGAAGAGCGGGTGCTGCGGCTCTCAAGAACGAGGGAGGCGAGTTTCCAGTGCCTGTGCCCACCGCCAGTCTCTCACCACACTGTAAACACACACACAGACACACGGTGGTGGTTTCATTGCTGCATACGTATGTCAAACATCAACAAATTGAATTCATTAAAAATGTGCTTTGGTTATGCATGAATTATACCACACTTAAGCTGTGTGTGATACACAAACTGATAAGTTTTACTTGCTAACAAACACATTGCAAATATTTTTTAAACAGTTAACAGAGCTTACGAGTTTATAAATCAATTTATAATTGAAAAATAAGTCAAATCAAACTTGTAGAGGATGGAAACCTAGGTCTTCTGTTGTAGATTCACGAAGAACTTCGATAAAATCCTTTGAAACATCTTCAAAAATCTGCCCAAATATCCAGAAGAATGGGCAAAAACAATCAAAGATGTGTGCTTAAGACACAAACGAGAATAATATAGAGAGATGTTCACAAATATGCACATAGCTGAGAGACATGGGCAGCTGCTATTATAATAATACTTGGATTACTATTCCAATAAAAATTAAGTATAGATTATTGGTTAGTCCAGGCTTCTGAAATCACTGAGGTTTTCTTTCAATGTTCACTTTGATTCTGAGCAGAGCACATAATGTCAGATTTCGGAAGTACGTAAAGATTCGCATAATACTGTGATCTTGTATATTATGATTAAAACTATGAGAATTGAAGTTAGTTAAAAACACAATTCCACATAGCTAACAAAAAGAATTCACATTCATATTTCATAGTATTGCACCTAAATCAAGCAACAGCAACCATGAAAATTAATTTGTAAGGGAATACAAAATTTCTGGAATGCATCTTCACCAAAACCAAAGGCAACATAAAAAGGCAAACATTGTTTTAGAAAAACTAGATTTACAAGGATCTTAGGAAAAAACAAACTCACAATGTAATTCGTACTAATCCACATACCAAACTTCAGTTTTGTGCAAATAAAACTTCTCTAGAAAGTAGCCTCTGAAATCTATAACATTTTCATCTTCAGCCCTCACAGCTGGGGTCAGTAAAATGTGTGCTCATGGGAAACAGACACCGTCTTTGAGTCACCACTGTCAGAGAGAGAGCAGTAGCTCTCAGCACAATGGATAAACACGTGGACCAAATGCACAAAAAAGACAAAGACCATCTGGTCACTACCTGGTTAAACATCCCCAGTCGTGGGCACTCTCGTTACATCTGGCAACTGTCTGGACACTGATATCAGTAGTTGACTCCTACCTAGATGAGATCCAATGGGGCCAAAAAGCTGAGATTCTGACAGTCAATGACCACGAAAAAGGGTGGCTGTGGGAACTGGAAGACGAGTTAATTTATCCAGGTTCTCAAAGATGAGGTAGGGAAAGAGAGCTTAATTCATCTATGAGAATGTAGCCTAGGTAGAGAAGGAAATGTTTCAATGGAGACTATCAAGAAATTTCCTCCTTTGTAGACTCAAAAGAAACAGAATAGATTCTTCTTTGATTGGAGCTATTCATGTGGGATGATTCTGCCTCAATGTAAGGGTTATTCTTGACCCCTAGACCTTTCCAGATCCCTCTCTACGAATCTGGCGCATGCCGATCAAAACACATCCACTTATCTCTGTAGGGTGTTCTCAGTATCTTTCCACCCCCCACCTCTCGCTCCTTCTCCTGGAGGTAGACATGTTTTTTAATGACAAAGTAAACGTTTCACAGTAAGAATCTGGAATTTCTTTATATTTGGACAAGCCTAAGGACATTAAGGACCCTTTTAGCTTTGCATAAATCAACACTCTGGACGTGAACACTTTACTAAAGAAAGCACAACTCATTCACCTGCTGGTCATGTCACTCCTAATGATTTCCCCATTATAAACATCCTAGCAGGATGCAGCCACCTATTTTGTGAGGGACTTCTCAAGGGCTCCCATCATGCTGGTTGGACACAGAGTTTCTGGGGGCAGCTTCCAAGAGCAAAAGGAAGGGATGACTCAGAAGTTGCTAAAGGCCAACAATCTAGAAAGCACAGAGCACAAATGACATCCCACTTTTTAACAGACTAGTACCAACACCAATGCTTCGATACCACTGCTCCCAGGGCTGCCAACTTTCACATATATGAACCATGTACTTACAGGAAAACAAACCAAAAATGAAATGGACCCTACACTTCCATATCTTGAAGCAGGATCTTGACAAGGCTTCCAGGAGCCAGTCTAACTCCCATGACTTCTATTAAATAAGAGTTCCTTATGTTTCTGAAAACAACTTTATTGAGATATAATTCAGAAATCATACACTTCTCCCATTGATGACGTACATCTCAATGGCTTTCAGTATATTCACAAATTCTTCCTTCTTGAAGCTATAAAGTTACTATTTTCAGGTTTCCATCCTGTCAGCCTTGTTGTGTTTGGTCCAAGCAGTGCTGTCAGGACCCAGAACTTGATGTGGACAGCTGTGGCCAGAACCAGTTCAGGCTGGTCAAGAAACCTGCCCTGTGGTCCTCAGGCTTCAGGAATGTCTGAGTTCCGGGGCCGGCTCAGTGGCATGGCAGTTAAGTTCACATGTCCCGCTTCAGCAGCCTGGGGTTCACCAGTTTGGATCCCGGTGCGGACATGGCATCACTTGGCACGCCACGCTGTGATAGGTGTCCCACATAGAAAGTAGAGGCAGATGGGCATGGATGTGAGCTCAGGGCCAGTCTTCCTCAGCAAAAAGAGGAGGATTGGCAGCAGATGTTAGCTCAGGGTTAATCTTTCTAAAAAAAAAAAAAAAAAAAAAAAAACAAGAAGAAAGAAGGAAGGAATGTCTGAGTTCCCAACAAGGATTCCATGAAAAGCTGTTATTAACCACCATGGGAAAGAGCCCAATAAAAAGAAGATACCAGTGATGTCTGATATTTATTCACATTCATGGTTGGGTAACTGGGAGACCCGAGCAGGAGGAGCCACAAGACCATCCCCTGCACATCCATGTCCTGATCCTCTCAAGGGCCCTGAGGTTTCCAGGAAGGCAACTGGGAAGTAAAAATGTGGAGGGGTTCAGTAGAGGGGTGGGGAGGGGGTCCAGGGAGGAGTTGGAATTCGGGATGGGATTGTGCAGGGGCTGTGCAGGAAGGCGTGTGTTGGACAGCTGGGAGGAGAAGAAGAAGGGAGTCAGGGAAAGTACTGGGTGAGATCAAGTCCTAGAGGGGAGGGAGGAGGGCTCAGACAGGTCAGTAGGTCAGCAGGACACAAGGAGCAGGTGAAGTGGACTCTCAGGAGCAGTTGGAGGGGACAAGGGCTTCATCTTCCTCTAAACCTTCTCCTGTTTGGGTGCTGCCTTAGGAATCCCGATCCTTTATACTCCCTCTTGACCAATCCCCTGCCTTCACCTTTGGTTCATCACAGTGCACACTCTGCGTGACCTCGTTTTTAGAATGCCCCTCCCCAACTTGGTGCCTCACCAGGAGCATCTAAATGACAGGTCCTCTCTGGAACATTCAAAGGCTTGCTTTCCAGTCCTTCCCAACCCAGGTCCCCTGCCGCCCACTTCTGGGCACTCCGTCCTTCCTTTCCAACCTCCCAAGATTTCCCATGGGCATTTGCTCAAAAACATAAAGCAAATGATGACAGAAGTGAAAGAAGAATCAAATACACAAGCACAGTGGGAGGTTTTCACACCCCTCCCTCAGCAATTCATACAAAAAGCAGACAGAACATCTGTAAGATGCAAAAGATCTTAATAGCACATCATCTTAATACCGTAGATGTATACGTATATCTGTCTGTACCCAGAAAACAACTGCTGAGGACACATTATTTTTTTTTCTTGCTGAGGAAGATTCCCCTGAATGAATATCTGGGCTAATCTTCCTCTGTTTTGTATGTGGGTCACCACCACAGCATGCTGCTACTGAGTGGTGTAGGTCCGTGCCCGGGAATTGAACCTGGGCTGCCAAAGTGAAGCACGCTGAATTTAATCACTAGGCCACAAGGCCAGCCTCAAGGATACATTAATTTTAAGCACATATGATACATTTACAAAATCAATCCTATTTATTTGGGCTATAAAGCAAATTTCAATATATTTTGGAGGAATGATATCACACAGAGCATGTTTCTAATAATGGAACTGTGCTAGAAGTCACTGATAGAAAGCTAATAGATAGTTCCATATGTTTGAAAATACTATAATATTTATAAATATGATTAATGAAATACGACTGTAGGAAGAAATCCCAAAGGAAGAGGCTATATTTGACCTGAATGATATGATTATGATTAAATGGTAAGAAAATACGTCTTCTTCTGGTCTGGATATTCTACTTTGCGTGACAAAGTGTGTGTGGTCTCAAAATCATTCCTAATGAACCAGATATCTTATCACCTGAAACAGCAGTGGATATGTCACTTATCTATGTCATCTTACTACCTGTTAGCATGGCTCTACATTATGAACTTTAATGGGGGAAATCTCTAAGCTGACTCTCATGATTGATCTCCCAGGATCTCCAGGAAAGTGAGCATTTTAAGAGAGAAAGTTCATCAGCTTCTCTGCTGGGCCACATGGGGGCAATACAGAGAGAGCTTGGCAGCACCAGGAGTGATGGGTGGGGAGAGCCAAGCAGGTGGACAGGGGCCAGGGGACTCAGGTGACTAGGACAAACCCCACTGGTGATCATCTCTCCTTGTTCCCATCCTGAATTCCTTAAGGCTCTGTTCTGCATGATTGG